CAAAAAGTATCATCGCAGACAACAAGGAGGAGTAGGGAAACTACCCACGCACGAGTAGGTTATTTCAAAGGAGGAAAAAACACTGCAAGACCACAGGCAGCCTGTTTGCCCCAGCTGGGTGAGGAAAAAAGTTGTCAGAACAGAAAGGAAAAGAGAGGATGGAAGCAAGTCTGTACTCAAAGCTACAAACCGAAATCTTTGCCTGCTCTACCGACCCCCAGGTGCCTCTACAAGCTGTGTGGGGCACAGGACGTGGAAGGGCCGACGGTGGGCAAGAGTGGCTCAGACTCGACAAACCAAACAAGGAAAAGCCTTTCCCAGACATCCAGACCACATCACTGAACAAACTGGCGTTAATTTGTCAAGGGGGAATCGCCTCCAACTGCTGTGTGGCGCAGCTCCTCTTAGGGAAGTCTGCTGTCTTACTGGGGCCTGAAAGAGCGATGCCACCAGGAAATGCCACAGCCGGCACGGCCAGAGCAAAACCCCTCAGTGCTTTTCCATACAGGGAGAGATAAGGAGCGACATTGGGGTCAAGGCCTATCGGAAGGAACTTCAGGGCCATGGGACAGCAGCTGAAGCGCAGATCATCTTTTCTTCCCGGCGTAACGCACTGGGTAAGGACGCACAGATCGGCCCTGGAATAATTTTCTCTAGGGGGGGCAGCATTCTCCATTTATAAAAGTTCCATAGAGAGGACAGGATGTAAGTTCTAGGATATTTGGCTGCCTGGCTTGCCAAGCCTGTCATCAGTGAACATGAAGACTTTACAGTTATGAAATAAAGAAGAGGGTTTGGCAAAGCAGAGGAGAATAACAACAAGGGAATAGATAGGAAGCTCAGCCGTGCCCTGGGCCCGCTGCAGGGGGGATCTGCAGCAGAGATCCTTCCCCACCGGCAGCCAGCTCTGCAGTGGGTCTGGGAGAGGTGCAGCCAGGCTTCCTGCAGCACAGGAGAATCGCCTTCACCGTGCTGCCATGGCTGACCCAGTGCTCGCCTCAGGCGATCAATCAGAGGTTCAGGCCGTGATTCAGCAGTTCCCATGCACTGGTCCACCAAAGAAATCCCGCAGCACAAAGAAGGCGCCTTCGCCTTGTGCACGAACCACTCAGCTCTCGTCTCTGTGCAGCAATGAAACAAAAATCTCGTGTCGCTCTGAGCAAATCGGATCCTGGCACGTGGAGCTAAAGATCTCAGACTGTGACAACAGCAGTGATGTCATGAGAGGCTGTGATGGCAGCATTTCCATTTGCAACCCCGTGTGGTGCTGTTAAAGAGAACAGAGAATGGCCTTGGTGGGGGATGGTGAAGAGCTTACTCCATTAAAGAGAAGCTTAAATTCACCATGCCTTCATTTTTTCTTTGTTTAACGCCACTGCTGTGGGTGTGTTACACATTGTAGTAAAAGATCATGAGCACAGCATCGATAGATGGCAGTTTGAGCACCACACCAGGTATGACTTTAATGCTGCTGGGCATTATCCTCAGTTGCTGAAGCTCTACAGTGAGTTTGTAACAGCCAGCCTTTTCCTCTTGCTGCTGCCGCATCGGACAGACTGCTAAGGGACATCAAACCCTCATTGAATTCCTTCTCTTGCAGTTTTGCATTTCCTCACTCACAGGCTGTGAGAACAGTCTGTGGTAACGAGAACCTGGCGCTCAATATGAGTAATCAGCAAAACTCATTTATTGGTTACCAAAGATTCTCTTTTATACATGTCTTAATAATCCTCACACAAAGTACAAAAGCGAGCTCATCATTGGTGCTCAAAGCTGAATGCCAACCCCTCCCATCTTTATTCCTTCAGTTATTGCTTCTGTTTCTTTGTATCCACCACGTCCTGTGTCCTCGCCACGTTAGCAATTCAGACAAGCTGGGTTCTGTAACTCTCCAGCTGGTGATCAGCGAGCTGCACCATGTTTGCGTGCCCTCTGCCACGTAGCCATCCTTCCTCGATGGTGACTGCAGGTAACATCAGCAGTAGGAAGATTTGAGAAGCAAAATGATCGCCTTCATGCTGCATTTTGCCCACTGAGTCCCTTAAGGAAGCCAAAGTTCTCCACTGCTGTGAGATGTCTGAGCATCTCCCGGGTGACTTCAGCACTCACACAAGAGCAGCTGGCCATGAAAACCACAGAACTCACTGGCTGTGTGCTACAACCCCTACTTTACTGGGAAGCCAGTGACTCCTCAGTTCAGGAGAGGCCGTTCTTGAGATTCTCCTTTACAGAATTAAGAATAATTGATGGGTATCATCCACCCCTTCAAAGAGTTGCTTCCCTCCTGTTTTTAGGCTCCCTTTAGGTAGTGAAAAGCTGCAACGAGGTCACCCCGCAGCCTTGCTTTCTCCAGGCTGAACAAGCCCAGCTCCCTCAGTCTCTCCTCATAGGCTCCAGTCCCCTGATCATCGTCGCAGGTCTCCTCTGGACCCTCTCCAACAGCTCCCTGTCTTTCTGTTACTCCCTGCTTTCTCAGCGTGCTTCTCGGGGCACGAGTTCTGGCTGTTTTCCTGACCCTCATCCGTCTCCGGCCCGAGAAACTCAGATCTGTGACGCAGGGACGCTGCAGGGCTTGGTGGCACCGTGGGTGTCGGGACGAGACGCCTCGCTGTGCCTCGAGCAGAAATGAGCAGATGAAGAGTAGGTCACCGCTCGTGTTGATAAATGCTGTCAGCACACTCGGAGGCGAGGCGATCCTGCATTCCTGGACCACAGAAGAAACCCCGCAGCACAGAGAAGGCACCTTGGCCTTGCGTATGAACCACTCAGCACTCATCTCCATGCAGAAATGAAACCAACATCTCATGTCAGGCTGAGCAAATCAGATCATAGCACCGCCCTCAATTTCCGGGAAGTTGGTCACCCACTCAGAAGTAAGGCTGTTCTTGAGATACTCCTTTACAGAATGAAGAATAATTGATTGGTACCATCATCCAGGCTCAGTGCCTTAGAGCAGACTCCCACACTGACATCCGCTTTAGTTCCTTGTCCCTTAATCCACACCCAGAGGCTTTCAACCACGTCATTACTGGTGGGAATTGAATGTTGTTTCTGCATCAGGAACAAAATAAGAATTTTGTCCATTTCATGGCTTCTCTACTATTTGGGTCATTTATTGGAACTAATAGTTCTTTTCAGGGGCCTTTCTACATTATTGGGGTTCTCTGATAGATTTTATTGGTAATGCCCTAGAGAAATCTTCCCCAACAACACATATTTGGTACATAAGTAAAGTAATATGTGTGAATATATATGTATAAGCTAGTAACAACTTCTGTATAGCCAGTATTGAGAATATGTCACACGCACTGCAACAGCATCCTGGCAATTGAAAAGGACGATTCATTACATGCCTGGGGAGTGACTGAAGAAGGTGTTGAGGAAGATTGGGCACCTCCCTTCCTTTGTTGAACAAGGACTCTGAACAGAATCACTTCAACCTGAACAAGAAGGGTGTTGAGACACCTTGGAGACAGCAGGACTGAGACCAGATAGCAAACAAATTAACAAGTAATCAACAAACGTAAAGCCTTCTGATAAGGTTATGAACCTGGAGTACCCAGCCAGAGGGGAAACAGGGCAGGGGGAGAAGGCAAAGGGGGGAGAAATCAGGGTCTAAAGGCTGCCATGTTCTGTCCATAGCTGCGCTCCTACTTGCAGGACGCCACCATTGCAATCGCGAATAAATTCTGCTTTAATCGGAGATACCGTCCTGACAAACATGGCTTGGATATTTCCAGCATTACCGTGAGCTCCATTCCATCCAGCCCGCCAGTACACACAGCTGCCCCATCCCATCTCACCTGCACTGCAGAGCCCAGAGCCATCCATCACACACAGCACACCCGTCACAGGACCGTTCCCACCACCTCTCACTCATGCTGATGATGCTGCAGCACACAGGGCCTCCGACTTTGGAGGCCAATGCGAAAAACCAGTAACACCTAACAGCCTTGCACATGGGCACCTGGGGGGCTGGTTGTTCCTTTGGGAGCTCTGTCTGTGCCTGTGTTGATTCCATGGGTGCAGAGGTGACCTATGACACAGAGGGCACAGCTCTCTGTGGGGTGGATACAACTACTGGTAGAATTCACCAAGACAAAACCTCCAAAGTGAACATCCACACCGAGAATGGAAGGCCCCCTCCTCCATGCCCACCATTCCACCACCAAAAGGAAAACAAACCAATGTCGCATCAGAAATGCTCCTGTTCCTGCATATGGGGCACTGCAGCCACAACTCTGCAGGGACTCATGTCCGCAACAGAAGGACTTTCCCCAGAACAGAGGAAAAGATGGGAAGATCAGAGGCAGATGAAAAAAACTGAGTTTTCTGACTCTTAATCCAACTAAACATGATGAATGACAAAACAGGGGGGGAAATCCAAGGTTACAATGATTTTTTTTCAGGGGAAAAAAAATGGAAAACCACTGGCTCACCAAAATCAACCTTCACTTCCTCAAAACACATTCCAAGCACAGCAGCTTTAGCTGAGCCCAGCAAATGTGACGGCCCTGCTGCAGGAGGTCTCAGACACACCTTGCCAAGGTCAAAGCAAAACCTTTCAAGCTCTAAAGGGATCACTTGCAAGGCAAGCACACACTGGAGAGCACTCTGATATCTCTGTGCTGTGGGAATGAGCTGCTGGTGCACCCTGAGGATTTGCATTGCTTTCTGTTCCTGCCACCTCCTGAAACTTGGGATGGTGCCTTTAGGAAGAACAAGCTCAGCTTTTTGTAGCTTTATTGGAGGCAAACAAGGCTTGGTGTCACACAGCTGCTCTGACCAGCTGATCAAAGCATTCAAGAACAGCAGTAGAACCAATGTGCAACACAGTTAGGAAGGTTGATAGGGTTGTGTGAAAGAAATGCCTTCCCCAGAAGCAAGCACTGGGCTGGAGGAGGCACCCAAGCCAAATCCTGATTGCACCTTTCCCTCTCCTCATTGCACATGCTGACATTTATTTTCAGAACAAAAAACAAGACCACAGTGAAGAAAACTTCAGAACAACTCAGCTACTTTATTCACCCCCTTCCCTTTCCTCTACAGATGATTCTCAGAATACCTCCAAGAGCCACGTTACTGCTCTCCTGACCCTTCCCTCAGGTTCATCAGTGCACTCACAAATTACTGAGAGCAACACATGCACACAGGCACATAGAACATCCCTGCACAGCCGCTTCTCCTTAGGAAACGGCATCAGAAAGCTGCTGGCAGGCAGAGCAGGAGAGGAAAGCGAGTGTGGTGAGAGAACTGCTTTGGGTAGCAAGGAAAGGCCATCTGCAGCTCCTGGGTTAAATCCCTTCTGCAGAGGGTGCCAGTGGTGCCATCTCCTTTGCAAACTCCTCCTGTGTGGGGTGAAGAATTGGGCTCTCCCTCATCCTTGGGCTCGCCAGCATCCGCAAGGTCTCTCTGCAGGAGTTTTTCCCATGAGAAATGAGGTGCCAGCCCTGAGAGAAACTTCCTGCACCAGGGACACTTGCAGGGCCACTTTATCACATCGACTGGGCAATGTTTAATGGAGCTCAAGCTCAGGATGAAGCTCCTCCTGCAGCGCAGGCATTTCTAGGGTCTCTGCACTGAGTGGATCCCCTGGCAAAAGCTCTGCCCACACATGGGACATTTGTAGCACTTCTTCCATGAGTGCCATCTCCTGTGAGTGAGGAGCTCTGCACTCTGCACAAAGCCCTTCTCACACTTGAGGCATTTCTAAGGCTTCCTGCCACGTGAACTCACTGGTGCAGGCACGGATTGGACTCCACCCAAGTGCAGACACTCTGGTACCTCAGCAGGTTCCAGCTGTGCCCAAAGCTCTTCTTGCAGGCTGCACATCTGTAGGGTTCCTCACGTGGATCCACCGGTGTGTGATGAACTGCCAGCTGTGGACAGACCTCTTCCTGCAGTCACGGCACTCACTGGGACTCTCCTCTTGGGTTGGTTCTCTGGCGTCGACTGAAGGTTGAGCTCCAGATGAAGCTCTTCCCACACTCCCTGCAGACAGGATTTCTTCCTTCCTGGTGACGTATCAGCAAAGCTGAGGTTTCCTTTGTGCTGCCCCACAGCACAGGAGTTTCTGCAGGGGAGGTAAGAGGTGACTCTCATGCACACAGCCCTGCCAGAAACGGGCCACCTGGCAGAGGGTTTCCAGTGGCTGTGACACATCCCACTCTGGATTCTCCTTTGTTTGGCCGCTCAACACAGCAACTGCAGCTGGAGGAGAGCATTATGCATAATTCTTGTGCAAAGAAAGAGAAAGAGCATTGAGTTTGGCTGCAGAGCTCTTCCTCTGCTCAAGGGATTTGCTTTTGAAGGTCGGCCGTACCTTGGGATGCTTCTTCAGCCTGTGTGCGCTGTGGATGCGCTGGTGGGCGTTGAGATCAGATGTGCGTTTAAAGATCTTCTCTCACTCAGGGCACTGAAAAGCTCTCTCCCCTCTGTGGATGCGCTGGTGGCGTTTCAACGTGGAACTGTTTCTGAAGCTCCTCCAACACTCAGGACATTTGTAAGGTCTCTCTCCTGTGTGAATGCGCTGGTGCTTCTTCAAATCAGAGCGCCTTTTCAAGCTCTTCCCACACTCTGAGCACCCGTAGGGTCTCTCTGCCGTGTGGATGCATTGGTGGGAGATGAGGCGGGATCTCCATCTGAAGCTCTTCCCACACACAGAGCACTTGTAGGGTTTCTCCTCCGTGTGGACGAGTCGGTGCTGGTTGAGGAGGCAGCTGGCTTTGAAACTCCTCCAACACTCAGGGCATTTGAAAGCTGTGTCCTCCAAGTGGAGGCGCTGGTGCTTCTTCAAATCAGAGCGCCTTTTGAAGCTCTTCCCACACTCTGAGCACCCGTAGGGTCTCTCTACCGTGTGGATGCGTTGGTGGGAGATGAGGAGGGATCTCCATCTGAAGCTCTTCCCACAGTCACAGCATTTGTATGGCCTCATTGCTGAGCGCATGCACTGGTGGTTAACGATGCTGGAATCTTTTTCAAAGCCATTTCCACACTCAGTGCATGGATTCTGCTTTTTCTGCTGGCACACATTCTTGCTCCTGGGTTCCTCAGGCTCCTTTTCACCTACGCTGAAGTCCAATGGGCTCCTCCCTGTCTTTCCCAGACCCTTTCCCAGTGGCTCCATGAGCTGCTCACCCTGACCTTGCTCCAGGCCTCCTTGGACATCCCTTCTGATTTCTTCCACACAGACACCACCCCACCGCCTTTCGGCCACACCACTTTCCTGCAGGTCCTCCAGCATATCTGCAATCCCAGTTCCTGCTGGATGACAGGAAATCCAGAAATAGCACACAGTGCCCAAAATAAAACACAGACAGAGACGGCTCTTCCAGACCCAAACTCCTCCTTCCCTCCACCACCTCACCTGGGCTGAGGTCTCCTGGCACGGCCTCAGGGCTACGCACATCTGGGATCCAGGGCTCTTCCCCTCCTTCAAGCAGGAAGATCAGCATGGGTTTGGGGGCTGGAATTGGAGCTTCAATGAGAAAAACAGGGGAGATGAGAGCATTTCCCTCATTCTAGCACAGTGCCTGTTCAACAGCTCCACTCCCCAGGGAGAAATCTCACTTTGGGCCTCAATGACACTGGGCCCACAGCTTCCTTTGCAGCAAAGAATGCTTTTACAACTCTGAAAATTGTGAAGGGATATTTCCTTTAAAATTAACTTGAGAACAGTTTGTTTATTTTCTGACAATATATCAATGACCAAGGCATCAAAATGTATATGGCAACTGAATGCAAAATCCTGCATTGTAAAGGAGTAAGCAAGGAGTCACCTGTTAGCTGGAGCTGGTGACATCATGCTGTGCACCAACACAAGGGCTGGTTTTCTCCCTCCTGGCTGATGCCTGCTTGCCAGCACTGACTCTGGGGCGTTTATGAGTCTGCTGTGCATAAAAATCCCTCCTGAAACTCACGCATCCCGGTATTTCCTTAGTTGCTGTTGTAGTTATCAATATGTAACTGCATGGCAATTTTACTAGCTCCAGCCTGCAGAGGCTCATTCTGCACAGCCAAAGGCGCCCTAACGAGGAGGAAAGGCAGCAAAGCCCTCACCCAGCGAGGCCACGCACTGGTACGTCTCCAGCATCACGTCCCGGTACAGCGCTCGCTGCGCAGGGTCCAGCAGCGCCCACTCCTCCCTGCTGAAAGACACGGCCACCTCCGCAAAGCTCACGGGCTCCTGCAAGCAAAGAGGCTCCTTGCTGGGAACAGCCAAGGCCCAGGGAAGCAGCTCACACAGGACACAAACTCCCGTCCCAGCCGCTTCTCTGGCCCCAGCACACACACGCTGGCTGAGGCCACCTCCCTCTCCCCTGCATTCACATCCTTCGCCCCTCGGCCTCTCCTGCCTGCTTCCCCCAGCCCCTACCTGAGATGCATGTGCTGTGGCCATCTGCTGCTCTCCTGCAGCTGAAATGATCCCAGCTGGAAGGCAGAAGTTGAACTGGAGCCTGCAGGGACAAGAGAAATGGCAGGGGAGCTGTGAGGGAACGCAGCAGTCCCTGTCCCAGCCCAGCCCTCCACAGCCCATCTGCAGGGCACTGCCTGGGGGATGGCACAGCAGGCCTTGCACAGGAACACAAGCAGCAACAGCACTGGTAATGCTCTGGCTGAAGCTGATTACAAATCACAAAGCTGACTCCAACTGGGTGGCACAAAGAACTGACACCCGGTTCAACAGCTGAGGGTACATGGACTGTGTGCCTAAAGACAATGCATAGCAAGGAGGCAGTCATCTTACCCCTAAACAGGGAGCAGCCCAAGTGCCCCTTGAGCTCTCCTGCACAGCAAAGGGCTGCACGACAGGATCTCCCCACAGTCAGGGATGGCTCTCAAGGTCACACCTGGACAGAGATCCCACTCGGCTTCATGTCAACACACCTTGCTGACACAGATCTTCTGTGAGAGACCCAGGGTTCGTTTGGAAATTCATGAGCTTCTCTGAGCTGGTGTGCTACAGGGAAGACCTGAAGGTAATCACGGAATCATAGAATGGCCTGGGTTGGAAAGGACCACAATGAAAATCCAGTTTCAAGCCCCTGCTACGTGCAGGGTCTCCATCCACCAGACCAGGCTCTCCTGAACCACATCCAGCCTGGCCTCAAATGCATCCAGCAATCGGGCATCCACAGCCTCTATGGGGAACCTCTCCCAGTGCGTCACCACCCTCTGAGTGCAAACCTTCCTCCTAATATCTAATCTAATTCTCCCCTGTCTCACTTTATAACCCTTCCCCAGTTCAGTCTCTGTCCACACACTTCAACAGTTGTTCCCCCTCTAGTTCATGCTTTGCCAAAGGACCGGTCGGCCACAAGGAGGTTTCCCACCACCCTTCTCTTCTCCAAGCCCAAAAAGCCCAGTATCCTCATTGCAGTTCTCCCTGCTGGGCAGAGCTGAACTTTCGGCTGCCACTATTTCAGCTTCTGCCCGCCTGGCAGCTCAGGGCCTGAAGGCTCGCGCTGGATGCGTGCCAGCTGCAGCCATCCGCACCAAGAATGCCTCGGCGGCGGCATCTCCCTGCTCCCCACCAGGGGGCGCCGCTTCCCATTCCGCTCCGCACGCACACCGCGCTCACTTCAGGGCACGGTTCTGAGCACCGTGCGCCCTTTGCACGAGGCAGCCTGGGCTGCACTTTACTGACGTGCTGCTCGGGCGCGTTCTCGACGTGTGCTCCAGTCAGCCCACACGCTCTCAGCTTTTCAGCCTCTATTACACAGCCCAGTGCTGGGGCTGGCACAGATGCTGGACGTGCTCAGGGCCCGCAGCTGTGCGCTGAAGGCACCGGCAGCTGCCGGGACAGCCTGAACAAAAACCTTGGGAGGGGTTTGCACAACCCCAGGTGAGCCATCAGCCCAGCGCTAAGCGCACAAAAGGTAACCCTGAAAGGGCCGCTAGAGGCAGATGTTGCCTGCTGGGTCCCCGAAAGGGAAACTGCGGGCTGACGGGGAAGGGAAAGGGGAGTGGAAATTCCCGCCTTGGAGGCTTTGCATTCAGACACTCACAAGCAGGCATCGGGGAGTTGAAAGCTTCCATCAATCCACGCGTGCAGAGCTGCACAGCGAGGTCCTCTCGTGTCTCCCGTGATCCAGAGGGAGAAGCGCAGTCCCAGCTGGGCTGTGTTACAGAGAGTCGACCGGGCAGCAGAGCGCGCTGAGCTCCTCTGATCACTTCCTCGCTGTCCCAGCTCCAACTCCTTCCTGCGCCCCTCCATATACAACCCGGGCTGCAACACGCCTGGGAGCCGCTGCTCGCCTCGTTGCAGCCCGTCTGGCCCAGCAAACCCGCTGTGCTGGGCAGGAGCTGGAGCCGGGACCGGGCTCCCGCCTGGGCTACAGCAGTGCCGGTTCCGCTCCGCACGGTGCCGCTCCCCGCTCGGATCCCGCTGCTGCTGGCAGGGGGCAGGAAGCGTGCGCTCCTCTGCACGAGCCGCGAAGGGCTCCTACCTTGGGTGCGGAGCAGGCTGCTCCCGTCTGGTGCAGGCAACCGGGCTCCTGGGAGTCGCGGAGAGCAGAGGCTGCCGAGTGCCCTCAGCCCGGAGCTGGCCGCAGCACGGCCTCGCTGCTCCTCCTGCCACCGCCGTGCTGCCCGGACGGCTTCCGGCCAGGCTCTGGCCGCTTCGGCACAGCCTCAGGTGCAGGCAGCAATTCCCACAGCGAGCACGGCCCGAGCCGGCTGCCGGGCCTTGGGCAGTTTCACAGCTCGTTCTCATGGCACATCTGCACCCGGGGGAGGGAAGGATGGGGGCAGGGAGGGAGGATGGAGGCTGTGTTTTGTTACGCTAATGATGCGTCGCTTTCTGCTGGGTTCCCTTGCTTCCTTTCCCGGGGACATTCGCACAGCCTTGTGGTCACACATCCCCACCTTGCTGTCCTGCCGTTCCTTTAACAGGGTGCACAACCCTTGGGAGCAGGGTCCCACTTGAGGTGGTATCCTGAGAATTCCGAGAACCTCACAGGTGAAATCTTGCAGGAGTGAGGCTATAATGTGCTCAGGAATGTAAGCTTTGAAATACTTTGGAAAAATCATCACAACAGAAATGTATTGGGGGCATTTGCAGTTAGCTGCCAGGAAGGGGCCTGGTAGGATCATGCGTCCAAACTGGTTTTTCATTGTCGTTATCTTTGTGATTGTTAAGTGTGTCTGTTATAAAATGAGTGCTTGTGGAATTCCACATACAATACAAGTGCTGTTCTTGCTGGGACATTGGTTATAGCTCTTGCCCAGGGAATTTGGTGTTCCCGTGCCATGGGGAAGTAGGCAGAGTCCATTACCCAGCAATGGAGACTTCATAAGCAGCTGCTGTGTGGTGTGAATGCTGACTATTGGATGCAAGGTCTGAGTGGTGTGAATGTGGGAATCGAGTCTAATTGGCTGTTTGTGTAACCTCGTATTTGTTATCAGAGGCTTGACCTGTAGTAGTGTCCAGGGATTACAGTGGAATAGAGGAAAGTGGCGTTTCGGTTGGTGTTGTGGACTGGGCTTTAAAGAGGAATATGCATGTGCTCACACTAACATTCTAGCTATGAGGTGTGGACTTTGGGGAACAATAAGGAATCAATGAAATTGAGTATGGAGGAGCACAGGGAAAGGAAGTTCCCAGGCAAATTCCACTTCAGATACTGCTGGGGAGCCTGGGGGCCCCATGAGCAAGACAACTTCACTAAAAAACTGTGATCGATGGTGGTTGTGTGGGAATCAAGTGTTGTTTCTGCATTAGAATTTTATAATATTATATTTATTTTATGATCTCCGCTATCATAGTTCTTTTTGGGAGTCCTTCTACTTAACTTGGGGAGCCTGAGATTTGGGTTCACCATCTCACAGTGGAACTTTACTGCAGTACGTGGATGCTACAGTAACAAAAGACTGTGTGCAATGGACTGTGAGCTTGCTGAATTTCTTGATTTAAATGGCTGTCAAGTTTCTCAACAGAAAGCACAACTGATCAAAAAGAAGGAAGCAATTTGCTGAACACCCAGAATGCCAACGCAGAGCTGCCTCCAAGCCAGCAGTGTGTGACTGCATGGAGGCTGTCTGTGCCAGCTGGTCAGAGCTACAGGAGGAACCGTTGGACGATGCTGAGGAGTCCTGGATTCATCGACGGAAGCAGTTTTGTGAAGACAAGGAAACCGTAAGGCAAGACGTGCAGTAACTGCTACTGACAGGGTAATTGAAGCACAGCCATTACCTGTGGGGACTTCCACTCAGAAGGCTGAAATAATTGCCTTGACAAGAACCTTAAATATATGGATGGATGCTAAATATGCTTTTGGGGTGGTACCCACTCGCGGTACCATCTGGAAAGAGCAAGGGTTGCTTACACACAAGGAAAACAAATTCAGCATGATGTAAATCTACCAAAGAACATCATGGCTGTTATACATTGTAAAGGACATCAGAAGAGTGGCACTGTACAGGAAACTGGAAACATGATGATGGATCAGGTGGCAAAACAGGCAGCTGAAGGAAAAGAAATTGGTGAACGGCTTTAATTCCAGACGGTAAACTTGAAATACCTGAACCTTAGTCAGAACCTATAAGGTACTCTAGAAAGGATAGGAATCTAATTAATGAAGGGAAGAGGGCAAGCTGACAGATGGGTGCATACCCAGATGGACACATTGTTGTGCCCGTTAGTATTGTATAGAATTTGGTTCTAAGGGAACATAATAAAACATGGGGGGTACAGACCCCAGAAAGTAACTGTACAATCCTAGTACCAGGAACAGGGTGCAAGTGGGGCTTGTTGGAAAGGGAACCTTCCAGGACAACAATTGCAAATTGATTATTTTAACTGCCAGGAAAAATGAGGGTTTTGATATATGCTAGTTCTAACCAATACCCTTTCAGGGTGACCAGAAGCATTCCCTTGCAGGACCAATAGAGCCAAGGAAGTAACCAAGGTACTTTTGCAGGAGATTATTCCAAGGTTTGGGTGTCCTGCAACAATACCCTTCAACCAGGGAACTCATTTTATTGCAGAGATTGTCCAACAGGTCAGCAAGCATTGGGAATAAATTGGCAATTGCACATAGCACACAGAACACAGGTGAGAGGTCAGGGGGAAAAGATGAACTGTCTGATTAAATCACAGGTTGTAAAACTGGGACAGGAAGCTGGACTATCCTGATCACAGTTGTTGCCTTTGGCTCTCCTTAGTACCAGAACAAAACCTAGAGCCAAACAGGGGTTAAGTCCTTTCAAAATACTGTACAGAAGGCCTTATGTTGTACAAAAGGGGATTTCTACCCAAGTAGGGAGCAAGATACTGAGCATGTGATAAGTCTATAGGAATAGCTCTGAGAAAAAGAGAAACTGGTTCTAGGAACTAGAGCCCAAGGCCTTGATATGGCTCAATAATATGTATGTAACAAATCTCTTTAAGATTCGCCCCTGGAACCAGGCTGGGTAGGTCTGTTCCAGGTGCTGCTAACATCCCACACAACAGTGAAAGCATTGTGGATACATCATACTAGAGTTAAGAAGGTCCATCAAACACAGTGAGAACTGAAATCAGATGGACCCTTAAAATTGTGAATCCAAAGACAGAAATGTGAGCTCTTGTAATTATTAGAAATGTTGATTTGATGAGTGCAGCATTTGATGTAAATACTTATGTATCTCTTGTGACAAACATTATTACATATCAGTATTGTTTGGTATGTGGGCAAGCTAAGGATTTAAACTTTTCTCTTCTTGTTGTTCCTGATGATTTTAAGGCAAGAAATCAAACTGTTGCAGGGTTTGAGTCACTGTCCTGGTGGGTGATGATCAACAATAATGTAGATTGGATTAACTACATCTGTTATAATCAGTGGAGATTTACAAATTATACAAAGAGTGCAATAAAGAGAATTGCAGGACAGTTATATGCCACAAGTAGGGTGGCCTGAGAAAAT